ATATATATATATATATATATATATATATATATATATATATATATATATGTGGACTGAGCTCAAGTTGAGCCCAAAATGGAAAGCCCATGTATTTATTTGGACTGATGTTGGATTAGGTTCAGGCCAATCTGCTAAATTTGTAACAGGAGTTACCAAATCGAACCAATCATGTTTCAGCCGAAGGTTCAGTTCGATGGATTATTGGTTGAATTGGTAGAACATGGATCGAATCACATATCTGATGAAATATATTATAGAATAGTATTTATTTATTTTGTTGTTGTTTTCCGTTTTGCTTCTTCTTCTTCCCCTCCCTCCATTTATATCTTCTTTTTCCTTTCAATCACTTCTACCCTCTCTCTCTTCTTCTGCTTTTATTTCCTTTTTTTTGTTCTTCTTTGATGAAAAAAATAGAAGATAAGAACAATTATTGAAGATGCGTGTCCCTCTCCTATTTATTCCTTATATAGTTGGAGAAATCTTATCTTCTATCATGATATTCCCGTCAAGGATACCAATCTTGGATCGATGAGTAGAGCAAACGTAGATCGCTGCTGCTGCTGCGATTACTGTTGTTGTGAGGGCACAGGCGTTCCTTTCATTCCCCTTAAGTCCGCCCTTCGTTCTCCTTAAGTCCGCCGACTGTTGGTAGATCAACGAAGACTATCGCGGTGAGGAAGATGAGGATTGGCCACGGAGCCTTTTAGGAATTTGGCTGCAGCAGTGTTGGTCGCTGGCCGAAGGCAAGGGCGAAGCTTTGCTTTTCTCAGCGGCATTGGTTGCTGGCCGAAGGCAAGAGCGAAGCTTCGCTTTTCTCAGCGGCGTTGGTCACTGGCCGAAGACAAGAGCGAAACTTTACTTTTCTCACTGCTCTGATACCATGATGAAAATAATAGAAGATAGAAACAATTATTGAAGAAGATTTATTGAAGTAATTTTAGCTTAAATACATGTGTCCCTCTCCTATTTATAATATTAGGAGGACGGATTTTCCTCTTATCATTCTTTCCTACCTAAATCTTATATAGTTGATGAGATTTATGTAGTTGATCCCAAAAGAAATTAAGATACTATAATTTGTTGTTTGTGTCGCTTGGGACAAATCATGCTATTATCGCTTTGCTAGTATATATATGACTGGCAATTTTGGAGGGAGGATTCTCCTCCTTTGATAGGAGATGTGATGATCGTTCGTGAATGATTTAGTAATGTAGCCTTCTTAAGTAAAACTGCATGATCAACATCAATGTCAATCGAGAACATTAATCAATCACATCTCGGTTTTAGAATTTTCAGCCATAGTATAAACTACATAAATGGGATATATTAATGTTCTTGCTTTTGTGCGTCTGCACAACACAACACATTAATTTTTATTCGGACATTCAAATTATCGTGGCTGTTCTTCTATGGATTTATGTTGACGACTAGAGCAGAATCCCCCTCTGCAACCGTGAATGTCTGAGAGAGCTTCTCCTCGTTAGGAGTTATGATATCAACACTGTAAGTGCCATGAAATCCTCTGAACTTGAACTCTCCTTGATCGTCCGCTTTCCCGCTGGCATGTGACAGCCACTCCTGCTTCAGCATCAGGAACCTCTTCCCAGCTTCATTGAGATCACCTTCAGCATTCACCAAGTGCGAATTATTGCGGAACATGAACAGCTCCCAGAATCCCCACAGCATGATCCCCTCCACCGAAGGGTGCGCGAAGGCCTCGCGAAGCATCACCTCCAGGTCGTCGGCTCGAACGTACTCGTTCGATGCCGGTGCGTCCAGTTCGGTGAACCAGATCGGAAGCCCGAGTACACTCAGCTTGTCCAGCGCAGAAGACACAACTGGCCCAACTGGAGTGGTGACATGTCCCTGTAATCCAATTCCTCCGACTGGAGCAGCTTGTTCTTGGAGGCCAAGTATTTGGTTCATGTACATCTCCGGGGACGCTCTGGTATCGGCAGCTCCCTCCACGTTGTAGTCGTTCACGAACAGCGTAGCAGAGGGATCCAGTTGGTTTGCAGTCTTGAACATGTATGATCTGATGTCTTCTCCCAGCCGATCTCGGTAGAAGGAGCCATGAAGCATCTCGTTGTTGACATCATAGTGCCGGAACTGGTCTTTGTACCTGGTAAGGAGGCCATTGATCCGGTTCTGAACGGCCATGGAGAGGTCCTCCTTGTTCAGGGACCGAACCCAGTTCTGCACCGTGCTCTCCACTTCCCAGAAGATGCAGTGTCCCCTGGCCTCCATGCCGTTCTTCCTGCACAGCTCCAACAGCTCGTCGGCGTCGGCGTAGTTCAGACTTCCTTTCTGCGGCTCCGTCCAGTACCACTTGAGCTCGTTCCCGAACACCGCCCAGTTGAAGTTGTTGACGAAGAAGTCGACGAAGTCCTCGTTGTCCATGTTGGTGCGCGTGATGCATGATCCCAAAGGGAAGCTGTTCTTGATTTGTGTCACTCGCACGGATGATCCAGCCGCAGCATCAACACCGGAGCCCGAAATATTCAGAACCACGTCCCTCTTTCTTACCTGCGCAGAAAATGCATTCTATCAGGAACTGAATCATCGAAGGGATTCAGCTTCATGAACCAAGATCTTTGTGGAATTACCTTATCAGTTAATTTCTTGAGACGCTTAAATCTTTTTGTCCTGTCAACAGGAAAGATCTGAAGCCCTGCAACCATTAGATCGACTCCGGAAGCAGGGCCTTGAACAGAGACTATGACTCTTGATGGCTGCTTCTCGATTCTGAATGATCCTCCGATTTCATACCATCTCCCATCTTTAGCTTCGACTTGGCCTCCGCTGGTCCACTTGCCATCGACGCTGAGGGAGACACCGATGTTCTGAGGGCCACTCCGCTGAGGGCCGACGCGAACCCAGGCCGAAACTTGATATGTCGCGTGCAGATGCAGCTTGTCGGCAATGGCCTGAGCTGCACCCATCCATGTCTGCGTGCGGCTCGTGACGAGTATGTATCGACCATTCAAAGGCTCCCGTGTTCCGAGTGACTCTTTTGCCATGGGAGGAAGCACATGAGGCGCGCCATTGCTGGTGACGGTCAGTTTACAGGAACCGAGAGGAAACCACCCATTTAGGCCATCGGAACCATCCACCAGATTGCTGTTCTGGATTATGTTTACTCCATGAACAACACTCTGCAGAAACGATGGCGAAAGACTGAATGCATTCGATCGTCTCAAGACTCGGTGAGCTTATAATGCGAGCAGTGGAGAGATTCTACGAACCTGGAAATCTGGAGGAGATGGTGGTGGCATCTTCGCCGCATGTTTAACTACTAAGCTGTTGAGAAGAAGATCGGTACCTGCAGGTGGTCCTTCGATGAATATGACAGCTCTGGAGGCAGCACCGTTCAATAGAAACTTGCCTTGCAGTTGCACCCAATCCTTATCTGACGCTTGCGATCTGACACCAAATCACATCATTTGCTTGTGCTTTCAGGAAGAACTGCCGCAACTCTACGAAGCTTAGTGAGCAATGAGAACTACTCACTTGGCAACGCCGATGTACTGATCGCGGCCATTTGCCCCTTGAAGGTAGAGATTCACCCTCACATCGGCCGTAGTAGTCGAGCCACCGAGGACTCTGACGGTGGCGGCGACCTCGTAAGCGAGCTTCCGCTCCACCCTGCCGGTGATTTCCTGCTCAATCCCGTTCCAGCTTTGCGTGCGTCCGGTGGCCGAGGCGAAGTACTTCCCACCGTTCAGCGGCAGAATTTTCCCGTCGCTCATGGAATCGTGGAGCGCGATCTTGCATCCTCTTCCGGACCAGTTGTTTAGGCCATCGTCGAAGGCAGGATTGAGTATAATGTTCTCATCATCTCCTCCTCCTCCTCCCAATCTCATGTTCGACACCTACAAAAGCAATAGAACGGCAGCAGCAGTGCTGTGGTCTTAGAATTCGCAGACCTGCATCTAATCATGAGAAAACACTCATCACCTCGGAGTACAGTTCACTGCGGGAATCAGCCATGAAATGGGTGCTCTACCACCATGGATTGGAGCCACCTCCTATATATAAGCCTCGTAAGCTAAATCAACATTGCTTTGCGTTGGAGTATCTAAAGGGATGAGGTGGTCTAAGATTATTACGTCTAAAATGCTCATGAAGATACTTTTACTTAAAGTGTTAGGTTACTTTAGCTTTGTCTTTGCTTCTTGATGGACCTTTTTCTTTGGCATCCAACCATTCTTGCGCTGCAATATTTCTTTTTGACTCTGAGACTCTCGCAATTACTTTCTGATGAGATGAAGTTACTCAGCCTTCAAAGCCAAGAAGAGAAATGGTTTGTAGTCGCCTTTTCCAAATATGAATCTTCAAGAACAAGCATTTGTTGAATTACTGCCTTTCTACTTGAATTTACCAAACAGCAACATCGCCTCCATAACGTGTTCATCACTCACGTCCAGCTCAAGAAGCAGCTTATTATTAGTGAGATGAAGAGTCCATAAATTCTTCCTGATGTCATGTCCATCATTCCGAGATACAAAACATCAGCACAACACAAAGAAAAGATTAGAATGTGTAACACCAATAATTGAATTAGCCACAGGGAGAAACACACACACACACACACACCAGTAAAGCCCGTTGCTCTTGAGTTTGGTGATCTATGATAGCTTTTATGGTCGAGATATAAAACAAACTAGGATGATCACATACCTCTACTTTGAGTCAGCCCTTCTCGTCATCTATTGATTTGGAGAAAAATCAATCACTGTAATTTCATGTAAGTATATGTATATTTTTTTTTAACTAATTTAGAGCATATATTAATGAAATTATATGAACTATTCATATCAACGTTGACGAGATCTATTTTTATATAAATTAGATATCACGAATGGTTATTCTTTCCTCTGTATCTTTTATTCTTCCAAAACTGACTAATGAAGTGGGGCCCATCAAATTCTGACAAGTGTAAAAATAAATTTGATCATTCTAGTACAGATATCATGTATATCACTGTATGAGCATCACGTGTATTGCGATTCTAATGGGTTAATTGTCCTATCAACTTTAGTTGACCAAATTTATTGATCAAAATGTCTAAGCTCAGATTGATAGTAATACATTTATCAGAATCTTATAAGTCAATCTTAGTTTTATTAACTTTCGATGTGAGATTAATTAGGGTATTATAATTTTTCACATTTAAAGATTTATATTTTCGTCAAGACCCAATATATCTTAAATCAAATCCTAACATGGTGCATGTGAGACGAAATATAGTGGTGGCTCTAAACCATAATGAGCCACTCCATCCAAGTAATCTTTTCTTAATTGAGCTCACTTACCATGTTCGGATCGGTTTTGATACCAAATGTCACGTTTCGAATTTGATGGATTAATTGACGTATCACTTGATTCAAATAATTAATGGATACTAATATACTCATCATATCTTTATAAGTTAATTTTAGTCTTATCCATTTTAGATGTAAAATTAATTAAAATATTACAAACATGTGATTTGGTGCTTAAAACACATTAATTAGAATATTACAAACATATGATTTGGTGCTTAAGACACATCTTCCATCACGGTGATTGGTGCAATCGATTACGTTCCCAAAAAGCCAACGCAATGGTTCCTAAGAAACTTGCCATGGTCAACTCATTCAAATACAGTTCTTACCTAATAGTTAACTGAAATGACAGGGAGAACATGTAGTTGTTTGGTCAAGTAATTTAAATCTAAACCGATATGAGTGGCAATAAGTTTGATGTTCAAAGTGTTTCCAGTTTTGTTATCAACCTGTGCGTTTGTTGGGTCAAATAATAAGTATTCAGACTGGCGTAAGTGACAAAAGTTGGATGTTCAGCTTCTTTCCAGCTTCACTATCAACCTATTCGTAGCGTGGCCAAATAATAAAAATCCAAACTGATATGAGCGACAAGTTTGATGTTTATATCGTTTCAATCGATGTAAGTACAAGTTAAATTTATGTCAATAAACCTTCCAACTGAATTTTGTTAATCATTTTTCATCATATCTATTGCAATTAACCAAAAAAAAAAACCTGTATTCAAATTCCCAGCAGTAGTAATTAGAATGAAGTGTGGAGGTGGTTCTAAATTGGAGCTTTATTGACTAAAAGGAAATCCTCCAACTTTATAAGATTGAGCCATAAACAATAAGGTTGGAGTAAAAATGTGGCACTTGGAACGAGCCTTTGACAAAAGTTTCCCCTTTCCAGATGATAATGATCAGGGGGATATCTTGTAGAATTCTTCCCTGTCAAGTATTATGGCTAATTTAGAATGCCAACCTCGAATCTTAAAAGCAAATTTGTTTCAGCTTAACTATTCCTCTTCAAGCAAACAAATTTGCTTGATTTGAATGGCAATAAGCTTTACATATTCCTAGTTGTATCTTGCAAAATAATAATCAAGGAAGAGTTCACAATTCATCAAACCTTCACACACAGCCTACCATTCCAAGCATTCAACTAATCAGCAGAAGGGACCTCAATAGCACCAAATATGCTGAAGGCAAACCTATATTTTATGAGTTAAGAGTTTGTACATCCGGCCCTTCGCTTGTACCCCATGTTGATAGACATACCAGCAATTATTAATCACAACCAATGTGCAGTGGGATATTGGACTAAAAATTCACTGGAGAAAATCCTCGTGGTAGCTATCGCTAATCACAGATACAAACCTCTCGAGCCAAGGGAGCTGGTGAAGGTCTTTCATGGTATCCATGTATGAGTCAGAACATGGAGGTGACCGGGAAGGGGGAAGGTGGTGGTCACTCGGGCCAAATCCTCCAGCGAGAAACCTTTGTATCATAGCCAGTTGTGCTCTTTCTTGCTCTGAATACTCATCCATAACTGCTGGCAGAGATTCAAAAGACTCCCATGTCCACCGTTCCGATTCTTGATCAGAAGGTGTTGCAGAGGGTTCCAGGTTGTTCTCACCCCAAAAGGCACAATGACATGTCTGAATCCCATTCCTATATTCAGCACCACAGGAGCAGCAGAATTCCTGCCCACACCTGTAATATGAACACAATGATGTTAAGCAAATAAGACTTTGGGTTTATCTATCTACTGTTTCATCCTGGAAAAGGAAGAACCTAAAGAAGTCTGGACCCCATATATTTGACTCTGAAAATTGAAAGGAGGCAAAGTCTTAAAATAGCAAGTCAACACAGCATTAGTTTGGTCTATCTGGATATATTTATTAGACCAACAAATTATTAGCAAAGGAAGACATGGTGACACAGACAAACTTTATAATGTTAACTTGAGGACAGAAATCAGACATACCAGGTGAAAACAGAAAATGAGTTAAACCTATAATTTCGTTAATTTGCAACCATCCAAAAATACAAGTTGAAATTCGTCTGAAGAATTAAAAGGAAAATATCTCACCAAAACTTCAAGATTTGTGCTTAGAAAAAATAATAATAATAAAATTCAGACAAATTTTTCAGAAGTTACAGACAGGCGAAAGAGCTCCCATAATCAACTCACCCCAAGCAAAACTCATCACATAGGGAACTTTTTACAGGAAGTTCTCTGAAAGTTTACTAACCTATTTCATAGCATTAAATAAAGAAACAAAGAATATAAATAATAAGCATAGATTCAGCCAAGGTAAGGCAATATTACTTAGTTGCATTTATGCAGAGATCTGGATGAATATTTCATGATATTCAACCAAGCTTCAAAAACTGTATTACCAGTCGAAAAAACATGAAAGTCAATTTTCCCGACTAGAAAATTTCAAGGTTTATTAAGGATAAACTTAAAGGAAGCTTCTGCAACTTCCAAGATATCCTTCACCAAAAAGCCATTAGATGTTATGCATATTAGGATGGTGACGTATATTAGAATATTGGTCAAAATAACAATTATCTTTTTAAAAAACAAAATAAAACAGCAGTGACCATTGGAAGTTGAACAACATAAATTCATTTCTCCATTACTCAAGACAACCATTTATCCATTGCTCCTATGCATTTACCATGGTATTCGATTGTGCAAGAAAGGATGGTGGTCTGCATTGTTGATAAATGATCTGCCTAAGTTTATAAAAAAATTTAACCAATGTTAACATTCTTTTAATGGCATGAGTATTGGGTAAAAAGGGAAGTTCAGAAATCACATTTACTGAAGAGGTATTATTTTGATGGTATGACTCGTGTTGGTGACATCCCAAATGCCATGGTATGCGTTGGAATCTGTTCTGAATGGCAAAAGTCCAGTGCACAGAAAAAGTTCCGTCTGAACAGCCGTGTGATGACACATTAATTAAGGCATCGATTAAAGCAGTGATGAGGAACTGAACGAGATTGCATACATGCTCAATACAAGTTATAAGTGAATAAAGGATACTTGATGATAGAAACTGGATGAGCTAAAACGACAAGGGTGAAACTTTGAGCAAGAACTTTCTGGTCCTGTTTGTTTCACCAATGTGAAAGCCAGCACCAAAGTGGAATTTTTCAAAAGAGAAGTCCCATGGAATTGATTTAGGTATGAACATTTTGTTATCTGAAATATGCTCAAGTGGAGTTCCCCAGAGTCAAATGAAAATTTGGTATTCACTTTTCTCATAAATGGCCATAAAGCTTTCTGCAATGAAGTCTACTTTCTCCAAATTTATGACCTTCCAATACTCTACTTCTGAGTTTCAGGTACCGGACCCATTTCGATGATCTATCAGACTAGTACATATCGATTAGTGGTGTACCATTTGTCGATACACTGGTATGTACCGGTGTTGAAGAAAAAGAGGGAGAAGTGGAAGGGGTGGTGTAGAACCGAAGTAGTGGAGAAGGAAGAAGAGGAGAAGAGGTAGGAGCATACCTGAGAAGAACAAGGAACACAACGACAATGGCGTTGGCAGCTGTTGTCAAATTTATGGATATTTACAATTGTCCAAGTTATGGATATTTACAATTGAGGATATATACATTCCATGTTTCAGAGTTTGGATATTTACAATTGTCAAATTTCTTAACAAACCTAGGATGAAGCTGGATACTTTCCTCT